AACGTGACCAAAGGAAAACGTGTGTAAGAATATCTGAAGCAGCCTAATTTATATCAGCCTAAGTCTGGAGACTCCCCATCTATCTTTCAAGTGGCCATTGGAGAAACACATCTCCAAACAACTATTCAGAATTTCTGTTTCAGGAGTCGATAGTGGGCCCAATAATCAGAATTTCTAACAATTTCTTAGGCATATTAAAGTTACTGTTTTAGGAAGCAGAGTACAAGCGCAACGGACTCAGAAAATAATTAGTGATGAGCTCAGGTAGTTGCTCCCTGGAACAGTTTCTCTAAAATGCTATTAAAGGACGCAAGTATCTGTGTGCTGATAATTGGGATGAAATCCCCCTGCTTCTGTAACAACCATGTTTTCAATCTGATCCAGACAGAAAGAAGGCATACATATAGATGGGTTAAAATATGAACTGGATACTTAAATATTTAAAATGAAAGATGAAGGGAAACACTGGCTTTTTCAGACCAAGGAGGTGTTTTTATAACATGTGCAGCAGCACACACACCTGCACCACAGCCCACAAACGCCACACCTCACACAGCACACACGCATACACTTGCACCAAAATACACAGACCTATCTCTCAGGACACAAATACTATACCTCGCACAGCACACACACACACACACACACACACAAACACATTCACACAGGAGTTTAAGATGAATACAAAGAACCAGAACAGTAGTGTGGCTAAGGCAGGGTTCATTATCTGTAGTATTTCATTAAGAAGCCTACAGTCCATGTGTAAAAACACCCTTCCTCCCAACTACCCTAACGTCAATGGAATTAGCTACTTGATCCTTCCTTAAATGGTGTGGTTCTACCTCACACTACTTCATGACTGCCAGCTTTGCTCAGAACACAGATCCAGTCCATTGATGTCTATGGGTTGATGCATGGTTTCTAATGGATTTTACCAGGCCCTTTCAGAGCAATGTATTATCGTGTGATATTGTAATGCCTATGATCACTTTTGCATAGGTTCTTTACAATGAAAACAACAATGCAAAGATTTCTTGTGAGGTGTGAAAAACTTCAGACTGACCCAAATAAAATTAAAATACGGAGGAAATTTGTTTCTTCCTCACTAAGAACTGTTGTAGTCTTCCTGAGAACTGTCTCATCTCCTTTACACTCCAGTGACTCACTCCTGGCTCTGGGGCTCTGCAGCCCTGCCAGGTATCATAGGAATGTGCACATGAAATATCATTAGCTGTTTCTTCAAATAGCACCATTGTGAAGTCCATTAAGATAATTCCAGAGTCCTATAAATGGAGAAGGCTTTTTCTTCTTTCCCCTGTGAACTCTCCAAGAGCAACTATCCCATGACACATCTAATGAATCTGTTCTAGTCTTTTAGATCCTCACTAATGGACTCTTTCAAAAATAGTCACAGTCATTTTAGCATAGATTTTGGGACTTTAAGTGAGTCAGATATCAGCAGATGTGACATAGGCATTTTGTTTCTTAGGTCAGCGACATCTCACATGTTGCAGCACTTCTGGGATGGCTATTCAAGGCAAATTAAAGTCTAAAATATTGATTAAGGGCTTTATTAAAGGAAAGCAACCATATATAGAAATGCATATGAATAGCTGCAGAAATGTAATAATACAAAATTAAGACAAAGTACGTAAATAATTAACATTATGGGCGTTCAGTACAATATTTCGTTGTCAATAAAAATCGCTAAATTTTAATGGCATATTTTCCTCATACATATCAAAAATAGGTGAGACAATAAGATGTTTGTTATATCAATTTTGTCAACTTAAAATAGTGATACAGATAAGCACAGATACAAATAATTATGTAGACAAGTTTAATAATTTCATTATAGCATGTACATCATTTTAAATTTTAGAAAGTCAGTATGATATATTTAACATCAGCCAAACATAGCTTAAAAATGTAATTGATCATAAAATTCTACTATATGTCAACTTATGTTTACAAAATCCAACAACAAAATCTTAAGTTACAAATGCCTTTATCCAGCATTCAACAGCAATTATAGATATGTGTCCACCAGATTAAAGGTTATATGTGAGTCCAACGTGGATCTATTCCCATTGATATCAGTATATGCTAGTATTCTGGACAGGCATTTTCAACATTTTCTTCATTAGTGGAAAAATATATATGTGAACTCTGTGTGTTCTTTGCTTTAATATCCTAATTGCCAGAACAGTAATAAGGTAGACACACCAATGTTATTTTAAGGTTTGTACAAACTCATAACTTATATGCATATAAGTAAATTATTCCTCTACCTGATAAGATTATTTTCTTCAGAAAAGAAAAATGATTTTCAACAGAAAATGCAGTTATTGGAAATCTATTGGCTTGATTCCATATTCATTAGAAAGGCTAAAAAACTAAATTCAGAACACGGACTACAGCCCAGAGAACACGTACGGCTGACACGGTGGTGCAGAATACCATCCTGAGCTGTCACCCCTAAGTGTGACCACCATTGGACACTTCCCATGGCCCTGGATGTTGCAGACACCACCAACCTGGGGAGCTGTATGCTGTGCTACTAAATTCTCATCTCCACGTTGGTATTCACGAACAATCCTGGCTTTGGTTGCATATTTTACTATTCCTTCTTGATGATGGATCCCAGCAAAGACTGCTGTGAAGAGCCTGGGATATATAAGGCAGCTATGGGCCCTGGGTAGCTGGTGTGGGACAGGATAGCTACTCCTGCACGTCTTGATTTCTATACCAGAGGTAGCACACTGGCTCCCCTCTGCTGCAAATTCCACCCAAGAAAAGAGATATTTGAATGTTGGGAAGCTAGCATGATAGAATCTAACCACTTCTCCTAGAAAAGTACTAATTACAGAAAAAAAAATATTGGCTGAGGGTGTTTGCTTTAGTCAAGCTTGCCAAGTTTGGTTTTCTAAAATAGTCAAGCTATGTTTGGTTTTCTAAAATAATTTTGAGAAAAATAAAACTGTTTCATATATTGTACATACTTATAACCTTGACTGAATATATCCTTGATATATAATTTCTCCAGAGTATCAATATTTTGATTAGTTTTTAAAAAATATTTCAAAGCAAACTGTGTAAACATGTTTGGTCATGGTGTATGTATGCAAAAACCCATTGTTATGCTTTAAATTTCATCAAAAGAGTTAAATTCCATCACAATTTTTACGATTCCATTTTAGTATTTGCTCTTAACTGTATGAAAAGAAACCTAACCAAAAAAACAAAGATTGCTAAGAACCCATTAGCTATGGATACTTGTGATTAGTGCTAAACATACAGATACAACTTTGAAATAGTTGTCATTATATGGAGCTTACAATCTACAGTCATATTAAAGAACACTGACCAACACCAATCAAGTAAAGAAATGTTACATAAATTATGCATTAAGAAGTATATATATAATGTATGTATATATATATATATATACACACAGAGAGGTGCACTTCAATAACAAAAGGCCATGAATTTTATCTTTATATTGTAAATAGCAATTATTGTTGCTAACACTAAAATGCCTGTATATAAATGAAAAAAAAAGTCATCTAAGAATAGTACACTATAGAAGTACAAAACAGGAACAATTTTGCTTGAACTTCCTTCATTTATTAGAAATACAAATGACCACATTTCTCCCTTATATGTGGTAGCTAAAATTTTTTAAATATCAAAAACAAAATAACAAAAAGAAATGCCTCTGTGTATCAGTATTGCTACATACATAGTTTTGTCAAATTTTATATCTTTGTCAAATTAATGGTTAAGAATGATATACTAATATATATTATATATAGTATATAGTATATATATTAGTATGCATATATATCTATGTAAGTATAAATACATATGTATATGTATATATGTATATATACATATGTATCTATATATGTATCTATATGTATATCTATCTATCTATGTATATATGTATATATATATATATATATATACACTTCTCCAGGGAAACGATATTTGAACTGGACATAAAAAAGTTAATATTTTTCAAGGAGAACAAAGAGAGAATTAAAGGACAAGGTACACTCTGAGTGAAAACAGGCAAATGGAAAGGATGCACATATTCGTGTTATATGAGAAGCTCCTCCTGCCTGGGAAGCAGGATGTGCAGTTGGACTCCTGGGGAAGAGAGAGAATGACAGAGAATTTGGTATGCAATAGAAACTGGAGCATGTAGGACTGTCTTTTTTGAACCCCAAATCAAATATTATTCATAACAATCCCAAGCTGGACAAACTCTAAATGTCTGTCAACATGCAAGTAGATAGGTAAATTTTAGTGTGCCCACACAATGTGATTCCACTTAGGACTAATAGAGCTAAGACATGAACCTCATAAATATTGTGCCCAGTGAAAGAATCCAGACACAAAACACTATCAATTGTATGATTCCATTTAAAAGAAATGTCCAGAAAAGACAAATCCATAAAGACAGGCAGATCAGCTGTTGCCTTGTGTTGGAGGTAACTATGGAGACTGAAATGGAAACCTTTTAAGGTAATGCAACATTTCAAATCTGCATTGTCATAACGGTTGCATGACACTATTATTTATTAAAATTTTTCAAATTCTGTAATTATGATTTCATTATTCTTAAATTTTACTTCAGTAAAGTTGTTTTCAAAATATTTTAATTGAGGCCAGTGTTCAGGCACAGCAGGTTAAGCCAGACCTAGACCTGATTACTCTTCTTCCCATCCAGCTTCCTGCCAATGCACTTGGAAAAAACAATGGAAGATGGTGCAAGTTCTTGGGTCCCTGACACCCAAGTGGGTGACCTGAATGGGGTTTCTGGCTCCTGCCTCTGGCCTTGCCCAGCTCACCCCATTGTGAGCATTTGGGGGAGTCAATAAGTGGATGAAAAATATCTCTCTCTCTTTTTTCTCTTTCTGTCATTATGCCTTTCAACTAAATAAAATACAGCGTTAAGAATAAAAACATGTTTAACTTACAACTTTATTCTCTAGGAAATGATATGTTTTAAAAGTGTGAAAACAAAGATTAAACAAGATCAGGTATGTATTTTGTACAACTTCTCATATCCATTCTCTCTTTTTTTAATTTTCCCCAAATAAGCCTTTTATTCAAGGAGTATAGACTTCATGCATTTTAAAAGTACAACTTTTGGAATATAGTGATTCTTCCTACCATGCCCACACTCCCATCCACTTTCCCACCCCTCCTCCTCCCTTTTCCATTCCCTGTCCAATTCTCCACTAAGATCCATTTTTGATTAACTTCATACACAGAATACCAAATCTAACAGTTCAACAATTTGTACACACACACACACAAAAAAAAAAAAAAAAAAAAAAAAAACAAAGCAAAACAAAACAAAAAACTATTCCTCAACAGTCCAGACAAGGTCTATTCAAAGTCAATGCATTTGCATCTTGAAGTCAATTTCACTTTTTCTCTTTTTTTTAGAAACTTAATTAACTTTAAAGAAGCACACAGGAATAATACATCTTTGTGAACACTTAGACATAATTATAGTACAACTCTTTCAGGACAGAGATCCTTCATGGGAACTTAGTGCCCCATGACTGTTGTTGTTAATTGTTAAAAATAACACCCTTATGTATGATGTCAGTTAGCACCTGAGGCTCTTGACATGAGCTGCTGAGGCTATGGAAGTTTTTTTGAATCGATAAATTCCATCAGTATTTAGACAAGACTATAAGGAAAGTGAAAATTCTCTCCTCCCTTCAGAGAAACATACTTCTTTGATAACCACTTATTTCCACTGGGCTCTTACCCACCGAAGTCTTTTATGTGGGACATTTTTTATCACAGTGTCTTGGCTTTCCATGTCAGAAATACCCTCATAGGCTTTTCAGCCAGATCAGAATGCCTTAAGGGCTGATTCTGAGGTCAGAGTGCTATGTAAGGAGATTGTCATTCTATGAGTCTGCTCTATGGACTGCTTACTATATTGGAGTCTGCCCTCATTTTTAATTTTATCTATTATTATTACCAGACCCTTAATCCTATCCATATGATCAGTATAACACTTAAGATAGTATTTCTACCACGCAGTTTAAGAGGATTTGGGTCCCATGGCAAGTTTTTAAACTCTACTCTTAGAAGTAAGTCTGTAGGTATGAATACAGAACTATACAGCTTTAGAGTTATAAACCACATACACTTCATAATTACAACTTCAGGAACATAGTGATTCTTCCCACAATTCCTGCCCTCCCACCCATAATCCTAACCCCTCTTCCTCCTCTCTCTTATTTCCACTCTTATTTTTACTGAGAAACAGCTCCTGTTAGTATTGTGTATCCCTCATTGATAAATCCAAGTATCCACTCCCAGTCTTCATCTTACCTATCCTCTCATCAGTGTTGCTCACATGAGTGGGGCAGACCACCAGAAGATGATCTCCCACTATCCCCACCTTCTTGAATTGACAACATTTTGCAATCCCCTCACCTAGGGAGGCAGATTTTATGACTTCCTTCTCATCAACAGAACTTTCTCACGACAAAGGGACGGTTCTCACATGATTATGCTGCATTTTCCAAGCAACCTTGGTAGTAATCTCAGAGTTCCTGAAATATAACCCAGCTAACTAACCTATGCCCAGACTGCTGACCCATGGATGCTGTGAGTCAATAAATGTGACCAATCATGAGCCACTGCATGGTGATACTGTGATAGGCAGCAATTAAAACTCATGCATCACAATTAGCCATTTCCTCTGTCTTTCAGAATCATTATCTGCACCTGCTGCCAAAACACACTCTTGCTTTTCGCTCTCTCACCGGGAACAAGTGTGGCAGTTTCATTGGTTTTATTAATACTGGAAGGCACATAACATGGATCCTCAGAACTCTTTTTTTCTGTATGGCTACCTTGAAAGTGACTTGCTCCAAACTTTGTCAAATACCATATCTGTGTGGATGACACCTAAGCACCAGAAGCAGACACTTGCTTGTCATTCTTCACTCATCCACATCACTGGCCCCTGACCATTTTATGTAAAATAAAACATTTTACCCTCTATTGCCCTCATGCTGCTTTGCTTATCCTCAGAAAGACTTGCTGCCTTCTCACAATGGTAGCTATTTTCATGTTTACTTAATTGGCAACTACCCTCCTCTAAAAAATAAACTCCGTGGGTAGAGTCTTTTTGTTCACTGCCATGTTCCCAAACAACATGGCAAGCAGGGCACAGGCAATGTAGTGTGAATGAGGGAGCTTTGACTGTAGGCATCTCAAGCAGCTGGAAGGCTGTGGCGTTAGTCCAGTGAGTGGGGGGAGCTCCAGCTCTGATATTTTCACAGGAATGAGGATGAATGGGAAAATTCAAAACACTGTTTCATGTGAGACTCCCCTTTCAATCTCCCACTGTACTAATGCAAGAGGCTTCTCCTTCATTTCACTTTTGGTCTCATTTTGATCCCCTCCATCCTCCACACTGCTTGGAAGGCTTTCTGGAGACAGTACATTCACACTGTGTGTGCAATACAGTTTCTATTTCTTAGGGTATTACAGAAGGTCCTTGAGGCAATAACTTTCCTGAGAAAGAAGTCATTCAGAAGCAGTGTTTTCCCCAAAATGTGTTGTGGTATTTCAGATTGGTTTCCATGTATCTCTTTTTAAAGAGTACTGCTGAGAATTTATACTGAGAACTATTGCTTTGTTCCCTTTGCAAGGTGAAAACCTCCTATCATTCAATAAGATGTGTTAGTTCTAAAGACACTCCTGACTCTCTTCTTCATACAGGTAGCACTGAGCACAACTTCCTCTGTGCTCCCAACCCAGTCCCCAGCAAATGCTTCCTGCTGTCTGAGTCCGGATCAGTCACCAGGGAGCTTCCTCATTTTCATTCTAGTTAATAACACGTCCTTAATCACACAGCTAAATTGTATTCACCTCTGTGCCCCTTGCAGCTCAGATCTAAAACATTGGGCAGTAGCAAGTCAACAACAAACTAGGAAGGAAATTGAAATTAGGTGTGGAGCTTGGTGGGAAAAGTGGTTAGGAAAGAAGAAGGGGATGAGGGAGAGGGGACCTGGAAGATGAGAAGAGGTAAGGAGATGAGTCTGATGTAGGCAGGCATACAGGATAAAAATGATCTGGTTTGTGAGCTGGAAGACCACGCCTTCACCATGCCCCTGTGTGACCTCATCCCCTATGTGACCACACCTGTGTGCCCACCAGCCAATCAGGTTAATCAACCACTCCCCTTTGGAAGTGGATTAAAAGCCTGGGACACAGTGTGCCTAGCCATTTTTCCTTTTCATTTTCTGGCCTTTTGCCAGTGCTGACCCCTGAAGCCCTGCACCTCCAGGGTGCGTGGTCTTTGGGCTGCCCACCCCATGCTTCCTGGCCTGCATACTCTTCTATGTGGTTGGCTGCTGGTATTCGGTACAAGTCCAGATTTCCTCTCTCCTTTAGATAGGGCCCTCACTTTCTTATGCATTTCTCTAACTGAATAAAAAGCTTATAACCTATCAAGCTGCCTCATTCATTTTTGCTGGTATTCAGAATTTTTCTCTGAATATTAAGCAAGAACCCAAACAGGCTTATTAATATTGGGAATTTATTAATAAGCACATGGTGATATCGTATGGACCCTCTATTCCGATATCAAGTTGAAATTATGTGCAGTATATGGGTTAATTCTCCCAGAAGATGTAGGCTATAGAGCAGAAGGCATCTCAAATATCTTTGGGAAAGAGTGCTAACCTTGCCAGAGTAGGCAAAGAAAGGCATTTTGAGGACTGGCATTAAGGTGCAGTGAGTCAAACTGCAGCTTGGGACTTCTGCATCCCATATTAGAGTTCCTAGGAGTGAGTCCTATCTCAACTTCCTGCTGACCTGCACACCAGGAAAGGCAGCAGGTGATGTCTCAAGTACTTGGGTCCCCACTGCCATCATGGGAGAACCAAGTGCAGTTTCAGCTTCCTAGCTGAGTCCTAGCTGTTGAGAGTATTTGAGAAGTGAACCAATGGATGGGAAATCTCTCTCTCTCTCTCTCTCTCTCTCTCTCTCTTTGTCTCTCATTGCCTTTCAAATAAAAATAAATTCAATAATTTTAATGGGTGTTATCATTAATGGGAAAAAAAGAGATATCATATTGTGATAATGGTGGTCAAAAAGTTAGGAAAAATGCATTAGCCAGGGTGTTGGAATCCGTGATTAAATACATTATTATTATCCTTAAAATTGTTTGAGAGGTAGAGAGCAAGAAAGCTTCTAGCTACTTGTTCACTCCCTAAATCCACAACAGCAGAGACCAGACTGAGAGGTAGCCAGAAGTCAGGTGTCGCTCCCCCTCTTCGTGGAGGAACGACACAGGACCCTGCGCTGTTCTTTCTGTCTGCTCGGCCCTCCCCGGGTTTGCTGCTGGTTCTTCCCGGGTTGGCTACTATCCCTTCCACCTCCGTGGAAGGGCAGTTCCCCCTGGCCACATTCCCCACTTCCGCAGGGGAGCGGCACACCGCCGGCCGGTTCTCTCGGGGGCTGCACGGGTCCCCTTAGATGTTCCCCATAGATGTTCCTGGTGCATGTCGTCTCTCTCCTCCTTTATAGTCCTCCTCCACCAATCCCAACTCGGCTGAGTACGCTGCTCTCCAATCAGGAGCAAGTCCTACAGTTAATTGGTTGAACTGGAGGCAGCTGTGCGGAAGCTGTTTACTTCTCTCCCAGCGCCATATTGTGGGAGAGCAGATGCATAGAATAAGTCCTAATTCGAGTAACTTAGTCTAGTCCGGATTGCTCCCCACAGTCAGGAACTCAAAGATATATTTTAATGAAAATAAAATCAAAAAGAAAAATTAGGGTGGGTGTTCAGTGCATCAGTTAAGATTTGGAACACCACAACCTATATCACAGTGCCTGGCCCAAGTCTTGGCTCTGCTTCTGCTTCTAGCTTCCTGCTGATGCACACATTGAGAGGAAGCAGGTAAAAGGACAAGTACTTGGGTCCCTGCCACCAACAGGAGAAACCTGGACTGAGTTCTTTCCTGGCTTTGGCCTGGATCAGCCCCGGATGTTCTGGGGCTTTTGAGAATGGGTAAGCAGTTCAAAGACCTCTGGTTCTCTGACTGTTTCTTTCTCTCTGACTTTCTGCCTTTGAAATGAATAAAAATATGCAAACTTGAAAAATCTTTTAATAAAGAAAAAACTCTTCCTATAATTGAAAGATCTGGAAAATAATTATCACATTTTAAAATTTAAACATAATTAATAATCTTGATAACATTCTAATTTTAATAA